ATTTTTTAAAAAAGAAATCATCGAATTCAAAAAAAAAAAGAAATTCAAATTCTCTGGTTCCGAGATTCGTTAAAACTAAATAGAATTTAAAAATATCGATTCATATTCCTAAAATAAAAAATATATTTCCAAAATCGAATTCCTATTATGAATCATAAATTTTCGTAAATATTTTTGATTCTTCAATCGAATAAATTCATAGAGAAATCATATTCATCCTTCAATTCCATAGATAATGTAAAATTTAATCAATTCCATTTCTCTATTTCGAATTCATTCGTCATCGAGCAATATAAATGAATAAATCTCCTTCATTCTCCAATCACTATCCTTAAAAAGAGAAATCAAAGGAATTCATAGGCCCGATTCTTCCTAAGAAGATTGAATATTGAGAAGGATTACAAATATCTCAATGTCGTAAAATCGGTCCGGTAACTGTGCGGAAAGAAATTCAATTTAGAACATTTGAAAAGGCAACTTGCCAACACAAGTCAAGTTTGCAATCAACCAGGAAGAAAATTTTGGAAGTGTGCCTCGTTTATTCGTCTGTTGTCGTTTGCTAAGTAGGCCGCGGCTCTTCCTGATGCGACAGTGCATGGTGTTCCACACACTCCCACATGATTTTTCAAATGGCTGCCCGTGTGCCCGCTAGCCCCCCCCACAAACCCCCACCCATCCAGCACGGAAGTGCACCCAGAACCCATCGTAGGAGTCTTGCACAATCATCGTCATGCCAGACAAATGTATCTGAGGCATGACGGGAAGCAGCACGTGTAATTGAGACCGCTAGTAGTACAGAAGCCTATGAGTTCACAAAGTGCCTGCGGTTTTTCTTGAGAAGTGATAAGTTCCTTCGAAGTGCCCTTTTGGAAGCTGAAGTATGACGTGTCTGTGTCTTGGCGTATTGCCAGTGGCACGGGTGCTCTCTGTGAACGGCACAAGCAGAAAATCATCCAGGAGATGCATTTCCCTAAGCCCTAAACCCTAAACTTTTAAACCCTAAACCCTAAACCCTCAATATTGTCTTGAGGGCGAGGGAAGGCTGAGTTACAATAGCATGCCGACACGACAAGCACCCTCGCTGTACACTCTACAAAACGTGCCATTTTTGGTAATATATGGCACCCGACCTTGTGTCTTCAGGTGCTGCGGAAAAGTTGCAGACTTGGCGGCAGCCACACCCAAGCGTCTCCGTGGAACCCTGGATTCCCTAACCCGACTCAGAAGCAGCGCTGGGGTCTCTCGGGCAGCCGCCGTCAGAAGACCTTAAAATCGTAAAAGCGAGGCTCTCAGAAGGGTAATCTCAACCCAGAGCCCCGTCACTTGCAAGGGTCGTGCAGCAAGCGGGCAGGTTGAATTCCAAGGAATCCCTTGCCCTGATGTTGAGTGGCCCCCTGATTTGCTAGAATTAGCTCTCTTTCGGGAGTTGCCAGTTAGGTCAAGCCTTTTTCCTGCTTAGTACTACGGGCAGGAGACTGAAGGTGCCCTTGTCTTTATAGCTGCTTTTGGAGCACGTATGCTGACTGAGAGCTTGTAGCGCCCTGGCACTTGCATAGGAAGCAACATGGGCCGCTGAGTTCCTAACAGTCGCTTCGTGGCCTCCGCCAGCAAGGACACGTTGCGCAGTGCATCTGAAGACTTCGCCGTTGATACATCCCTAAACCCTAAACCCTAAACAACGGATAAACCCTAAACCCCAAACCCCAAACCCTAAACCCTAAACCCCAACCCGACCCCTAAACCCCAAACCCCAAACCCTAAACCCGAAACCCCAAACCCGAAACCCTAAACCCCAAACCCTAAACCCTCAAGTCGGCGTTTCAACTGGAGCTTCTCCCTCCAAGGGACGAGTGCCCTGCCTTGGCAGCCGGATCCTTCTGACATGCGCTATCAAAGACCAATCAGAAGGTCGGGCAAGCACCGCCCATCGCCGAAAGGCTGCCATTTTGAAAGGCCAAAAGTACAACGAGTGCTCTGTGTGTAGAAGGCGGCATCTGGGGAAGTTAACAGCATGAGGCGGAGTGCAATCTGTATCAACACGAAGAGCGCTCGTGGCTTTGCAGGGCCAAGCACGTGTGCCATACACGCAAAAGGTGGCACCCGACCTTGTGTCTTCAGGTGTCATCGACAAGTCGAGAAGATGTAGCCTGGCAGATTTGTATGACCAGACTGCAAAGAGATCTGACTGGCGAAAACATACGAAACTCAGCTGGTCAGCCGGAGTCTCGCGTTGTTACATACAGGTGGAGAACTGAGAGGGAAAAGCTTTGTCACTGCGCTGGCTTTTCTTTAGTGAAGCATTGAGAATTAGTTGCTGTCAAAACACCTAAACCTCTAGCCTCTAGCTTACATAGCCTAGCCAGGGAATACATCAGGCGAATACATCGCGCAGATTGATTCCAGCACATGGTAACGAGGACGGCTTTGATGCATGCATTTGCTTGGGAGGATGTGTGCTAGTGTGCTAACTGTTGCTTACGCTCCGTACCAACCGCATCCCATCGCGTCCTAACCTCCGCAAGCAAAGCAGCTGAAGAGAGAAAAAAAGTTAATGTCTGTATAAGGGCTAAGCACATTAAACACTCGTCCGAGCGCCCGTCGCTCAGAATGTTTCTCCTGTAAGTGTGCGAATCAAGCGAGGTGCTCGCAGCCTGGGCCTCCGATCCAGCGCAAGCAGGCCGTTGATGGCTGACTGCTCAGCAGCAAGACCGCGACGCCGTAGGGCAGGCATAGAGTGGGAATTCCTAAGACCAAAATCGCCATGATTGAGCTGGGACTCCACTCCTCGGGTCCACACGTGTATGCAGGCAGCCTAAAGACTCACACTTCCGCCGGCACACACAGTCCATCATTCCCACACATACCCCAACTGACGCACCACGCAAATGCTAAGAAAAGGGAGTCAAGGTCGAGGCTCTCTCTTCCGCCTCTCGACCTCCGCCTTCTGCCGCGGGACCAGGGGCAGCGCGCACATGCCGAGCAAGGAAGCGCCGTAGGCCAGCGCAAAGGACCAAGCGACCGTGGTCCGGAACGCAGGTGTGTCGCTCACATAGTTCTCCAGCTTGGACAAGGAGGGCGTGAAGAGACCAAAGACTTGATTGCTCAAGGCCGTGGAAATTGGCAAGCTTGCATGCTGCACGGTTCCAATCAGGCCAAAGCAAAGACCTTCCTGTCCAGGCTCCGCAAGCTCAATGACCATGAGGCTGTAGATCAAGGCAAGTGCCGTCGTAGGCACTGCGCTAAGGACATCCTCACCAAGGAAGAAGTATTGATTGCGGACCACATCGAAGATTGTAAGAAAGGTCGGAATTGAATCTGACGCTGTCACTACGACCATGGCGATGAAGATAGCCTTGCGCCAGCATGTCTGGAGGAGGTACCTGGAAGAGGACCGGGGTTGAAATGTGAAGCACTAGTGTTTTTATACTTATGTGTTTTGTGAGAAGATACCAACAGCCCTTGTTGACTTCTTCAGAAAGCACTCACAAACATGCCCAATGTGGACCTGGGAACACCTTGTAGAACCAGGTGGCCACCATCATGACAAGCATGCTGCACATGACAAACAGCTGCTGCTGCAAGACTCTGACCCCTGCCCACTGGCTGCGGACCAGAGGTCCCGCGGTGGTGGAGATAGAGCTGAAGAACTGGGCGACGAAGGCAAACAGCAGAACGCTCGAAAACCCTTTGCTCTTCACCAGGTTCCTGAGTTTGCTGAGTCACGCTGAGGCGAACCCCTGCCTTAAAACAAGCAGAGGTAGTGCCCAAGGAGATGGGCATGACCCATTCGGACGTCCAACGCAACAAGAAGGTGGAGTGGTTGGGGGGGGGGGGGTTGCTAAATGCCCCTAAGCCCTAAACCCTAAACCCCAAACCCTAATGCGGGCAAGCTGCCAAGAAGACTTGACGTGGCCGACGCACGATGGCTGATTGCGCTTCTTGGGCTCTTGGACGCAGAACAAGGAGATGGGGATCCTGGGATGCTCTTGGAATGGTTTAGGGCTTAGGGTTTAGGGCATAGGGTTTAGGGTTTAGGGTAACAAGGAGATGGGGATCCTGGGATGCTCTTGCAACCCCCCTCATTCAAAGCTCCATGAAGCCTCATATGGTCAGTTCCCGAAATTGCGGTGCCGTTTTGGGTGCCCTAAATATTCGGGGCCGCCTTACAATAGTAACCTCAGTGAAAAGGGACCATAATACAGAGAACTGACCATATATAACCCTAAACCCTAAACCCCAGCATAGAACCAGCTGAAGATACTTGTGCTGCGCATGACTACCGCATGGACCCCAAGCAGGCAGACCACTCCAAGATCACTCCCAGAGGCAGGGTTAGGGTTAGGGTTTATCTTCGCGATGTGGAACCGTGCAAGCCTCGAAATCGTGCCCCCGCCCAGGTTTCCGGGGCAACTTTCTGAAGCTTGCCTCAAAAGGTGCACGGGACTTACCTAAACCCTAAACCTTGAACCCTGAACCCTAAACCCTAAACCCCCTTAACCCAGAATAATGCTTGGCCTGGGCTCTTTTGGCTCCGGCAAAAGCGTTTTTGATTTTCCATCGCAAACCAGGACAGGCTACTATACCCTGTTTAGGGTTTAATTAGGGTTTAGGGTTTATACAACCCCTAGCAAAGGCCGTTTGTAGGTTTGACTATGGGGAGAAAACGACCTAATAGCCAGTTCTGGAATAACCTAAACCCTAAACCCTCAACCCTGTTTGTTGAGCAGGTAAAGCCTCAACCCTAAACCCGCTAATTATGTTTGGCTTCGCGAAAGGTGCCAAGTCACGCCCTCGCCTGGGTGCTTGTTCTGTACTCAAAATCGTGCTCGCGCCACGCGGCTGGGTCCCGTACACTTTTTGAGGCTTACTTTTATGGTTATTAATTATGGTTACGTTTAGTAGTACTAGTATTGTTACGGTTTGGGGTTTAAGCGAGTTTTGGTCCAAAACGCGAGCATGCCTAAACCCAAAACCCTTCTTTCCCCAAACCCTAAACCCTAAACCCTTACCCTAAACCCTAAACCCTCAACCCTAAACCCTAATGGTATCGGCTTGCCGAGGGCTCAGCAATCCAATCTAAATCCCTTCACTCTGGACGTTGGATTCCCGTTGTGTTGTCACACAAACAAGAAACCTAGGGCTCTCTTTACCCACAGCTTAATGGGTTGTACCTACTAATTAAGGCAAATAGAGTGTCAGGAAAAGATTACCAAGAAATGAGTAGGATCATGCAGGTGACCAGCACCAAACACAAGGCCATAAAGCCTCTGAAGGACAAGCCCCAGTCGAACGTGCCCAAGTACTCCTTCTTGTTTAGGAAGACCCCAGTGGCCCCGGAGGAAACCAGAGAGCCTGCCATGGTGACGATTGTGAACTCCGCCTTCATCTTGCCCCGGCAATCTATCGGCTCACGCTGGGAGTACTCCAGCAAAAGACCCTCGCCAGCCACACATCCCAACTGAACGCCTGCGACGAGGATGAACAGCGGGAACACGTACCAGTTCTTGTCAGCATGGATGCTGGGATTGCATGGTGGTCTCATCGTGTCGTAGCTGCCATCAGGGTTTTGGCAGTAGTATGGCGCAGGAAGCGGCCGCAAGCTCATGACCAAGAGCGCGCTGCCACATATGATCCAGGATGCCACGAAGTAAGGCTTCCGGTTGTAACCGAAAATGGGGAGGCAATCTGTCATCATGCCGAACGGGAGAAGGAACACTTGTGGGAGTTTCATGAGGGCCGAGATGGACATCAAGATGTACGAGTCCAAGCCCATGTAGCCAAGGAAGAACCCGTACACAACGCTTGAAGCGGCCGAGTTCAAGAAGGCGAGGAAGAAGCCCCCCAGTGGGAGACCGCAGGTGCGCCACATCCAGATGCTCGGGCAGTTGGCGCATTTGCTGCAACATGCCTGGCCCGGAAGATGTGCGGAATGATGCGCGCCTCCACGGCAGCCCGACTCCTTCCGTGTATCGGGCTTAAGGTTTAGGGTTTTGGGTTGAGGCTATCCAGTACCCCAAACAAGTCAAACCCTGAGCACGCCATGGCACACCCTAGCCCTCCTCAAATTCTCTCCAGCCAGTGCTACGTTACGTCTGCTACGTATCCGTAAGGTTTAGGGTTTAGGGTTTAGGGTTTTGAGGGTTTAGGGTTTGAAGCTAAAGCCGTCTCCTGATTCTCCAAGTCGAGATTGCTCGTGAGCTGGATTGCCATAGAAACGCCGTCCGAGCTCGTGGCCTGAAGCTCCTTGCAACTCTGGGTCTGAACCCTAAACCCTGAACCCTAAACCCCCAAACGCCCTAAACCCTAAACCCTACACCCTAAACCCTAAAACCTAAACCCTAAACCCTAAACCCTAAACCCCTCCTGGCCTGAAGCTCCTTGCAGCTCTGGGTCCTGACCATGCAGGTTCAAGCGCTGGGGGTCGAGGGTCGAGGGACAGGGGTTCAGGGTTCAGGGTTCAGGGTTCAGGGTTTAGGGCTTAGGGCTTAGGGCTAAGGCTTTAGGGTTGAGGGTTTAGGGGTTTTCAGGGATATCCTGGTCGGATTGACTCCTTAAGACCAAAAGGCCCACGACCCAGACCCCCCTGGAGGATCCAAAAAGTAGGGGCCATTGTACCCTAAACCCTAAACCCTAAACCCTAAACCCTAAACCCTAAACCCTAACCCTAAACCTTAAACCCAAAACTCTAGAACGGTTTGGATCCTCCCAGGGGTCTGGGGAGCAACCCTCCAAAACAATCGCGTGCACGCTCCTCTCTGGGCTCACCGCCCCAGCGCTGTCAGACCGAGGCCCGCTGGAGACGGACGACTCCTCATCCAGGGTTTAGGGTTCAGGGTTTAGGGTTTAGGGTTTAGGGTCCTCATCCACGAATAGAACAGGACCCGACATGGCTCTCTACCCCAGTATCTGTATGAGGGCTTAGCCACTCCTCTCTTCAGCACCTTGGAGCAAGTGGGCAGCCGCGTCTGGCGTTGTGACGGACAGAAACATGCTTAGCATGCTTGAAGGTCTAGTTTCAACAGCATCTAAAGCTCTAGTTCTAAACACGCTTGTTTTGTTAAGCCGGTATTACACACTCCAAACATGATAATTACAGCCAGGACCTCAAATTGACGACATAAAGCCCTACATGCAACTAGGCGATTGAACCGCCCCTGTCGTAGGCATGCATGTGACCCTAAACCCTAAACCCTAAACCCTAAACCCTAAACCCTAAACCCCGTCGTACCACCTGCCTTGGCTTCCCTTTTTCGCCTGTGCTGAGCGATGACCAGGAGGGAACTGCTTGAAACAAATTGACGGAGGGATCGGATGCGATAGCGTGCCGGTGCAAAATGCGCCCGCGCTGTACACTAAGCAAACGTGCCATATCCGTGATGGATTGGGCATTTCCCAGAATTGGGGGGGGGGGGGGGGGGCGGAGGGCCGGTACCCCCCTCATATACCACCAAAATACGATGTTTGTTACTTGACAGCTGCAAAAAGTGTACCCCAATTCTGGGAGATCTCCGAAGTGGCACCAGATCTTGTGTCTTCAGGGTGCTGCAGCACAACTGCAGACTGGGCGGGAGCCCGCAAAACTCAAGCGCCTAGCTCTTACACTGGAGCCTCGCAGGCCGCCCGCAGAAGACATGAACATCAGAAAAAACGGGATGTTGTGTGTGGCAGCACCTGTGACCACAGCCTAGAACTCATAAGGGGACTCTCAGAAACGCAGGGAGAAACATCCACATTCTCCTCAAGGCCACGATGCATCGTAGGGCCACACTGAGAACACCCCTTGACTTGCAGAGTTCGTGCAGCAAGTTGGCAGGCTGAATTCCGGGGACTCCCTCGCCCTGATGTTGCAGAGTCCCCCCACATTCCCTGGAATTGAACACCCCAAGGCTAAACAGTACATGTGGGCCTTTGGCGAGTCATTTTGGGCAAGGGATTGAAGGTGTCCTTGTCTTAACAGCCGCTTTTGGAGGACGTATGCTAACTGACAGCTTCAGGGCCCGGGCACCTGCATAGGAAGTACCCTCGGCCTCTGAGACTTAATCAGTCGCTTCATGGCCTCCCCCAGCAAGGACATGTGGTGCAGTGCATCTATGAGTTCGCCCTTTACACATGCTGGAGTTTTAACGTGGAGCTTCTCCCTCCAAGGGACAAATGCCCTGGCAGCCTAGTGAGCCGATGTCCTGAATGTGCTATCAAAGACCAATCAGAAAGTCGGGCAAGCACCGCCCGTCGCCGACTGGCTGCCATATGGTAAGGCCAAAAGTAACATCTGCACTCCGTGGGAAGAAGGTGGCATCGGGCAATTACCATGCTTCACTTATCTTCACTTCACTACGGTGCCAACACGGAGAGTGCTCTTGGCTTTGCAGCGCCAAGCACGTGTGCCATACACGCAAAAGGTGGCACCCGACCTTGTGTCTTCAGGTGTCAACCAGTCGAGAAACTGCAGACAGTCCAATGGTGTGCGAAACTCAGCTGGTCAGCCGGAGTTACGCAAGTTATTACACGCAGTGGAGAACTGAGAGGGAGAAGCTTTCTGACTGCACTGGCTTTGTTTTGGCGAAACATGGACAATTGCTGGTGAATCCAAGCCTAAATCTCTTAGTGCTTAATTACATAGCGTTGCCAGGCAAAAGGTTGAATTCAAGCACATGGTAAAGGCGATTCTGATGCAAGTCTATATATCTGCTTGAGAGGACGTGTGCTGACTGGCTGCTTCACTGCCTGCCAATCGCATCCTGGCCTTCACAAGCAACGAAGCTGAAGAGAGCATTATAATGGCAGTCTGTATGAGGGCTCAGCACATGACTATGTTTCTCAAGCGCCATCGCTCAGAACCTGTCGCGAATCAAGCGAGGTGCTCGCAGCCTGGGCCTCCGATCCAGCGCAAGCAGGCCGTTGACGGCTGACTGCTCAGCAGCAAGACCGCGACGCCGTAGGGCAGGCATAGAGTGGGAATTCCTAAGACCAAAATTGCCATGATTGAGCTGGGACTCCACTCCTCGGGTCCACACGTGTATGCAGGCAGCCTACTCGCTCAGAACACTAAGCCAAAGCATCACATGTGGGCCGGCACTCACAGCACCCAAACTGACATACCACGCAAGTACTAAGAAAAGGGAATCGAGGTCGAGGCTCCTTCTTCCGCCTCTCGACATCCGCCTTCTGCCGCGGGACCAGGGGAAGCGCGCACATGCCGAGCAAGGAAGCGCCGTAGGCCAGCGCAAAGGACAAAGCCACCGTGGTCCGGAACGCAGGCGTGTCGGTCACGTAGTTCTCCAGCTTGGACAAGGAGGGCGTGAAGAGACCAAAGACTTGATTGCTCAAGGCCGTGGAAATTGGCAAGCTTGCATGCTGCACGGTTCCAATCAAGCCAAAGCAAAGACCTTCCTGTCCAGGCTCCGCAAGCTCAATGACCATGAGGCTGTAGATCAAGGCAAGTGCCGTCGTAGGCACTGCGCTAAGGACATCCTCGCCAAGGAAGAAGTATTGATTGCGGACCACATCGAAGATTGTAAGAAAGGTCGGAATTGAATCTGACACTGTCACTACGACCATGGCGATGAAGATAGCCTTGCGCCAGCATGTCTGGAGGAGGTACCTGGAAGAGGACCGGGTTTAAATGTGAAGCACTAGTGTTTTTATACTTATGTGTTTTGTGAGAAGATACCAACAGCCCTTGTTGACTTCTTCAGAAAGCACTCACAAACATGCCCAATGTGGACCTGGGAACACCTTGTAGAACCAGGTGGCCACCATCATGACAAGCATGCTGCCCATGACAAACAGCTGCTGCTGCAAGACTCTGACCCCTGCCCACTGGCTGCGGACCAGAGGTCCTGCGGTGGTGGAGATAGAGCTGAAGAACTGGGCGACGAAGGCAAACAGCAGAACACTCGAAAACCCTTTGCTCTTCACCAGGTTCCTGAGTGTGCTGAGACACGACAGTTTCCTTGGGGACAATTTGGCTGAGACGAACTTGGTGGTCACTTCCAACAAACACGGCAGTAGTGCCCAGAGAGCACAGCAGATGGCCTAATGCAACAAGAAAGTGGGTTGGGGGGGAGGCTTGCTGACAATGTCGCAGCTGATGCGGGCAAGCTTCCAAGAAGACTTCACATGGCCGATGCACGATGGCTGTTTGAGCTTCTTGGGCTCTTGGACGCAGAACAAGGAGATGGGGATCCTGGGCGCTCTTGGAATGGTCTACGGTTAGGGTTTAGGGTTTAGGGCTTTAGGGTTTTAGGGTTTTAGGGTTTTAGGGTTTTAGGGTTTTAGGGCTGTAGGGTTTTAGGGTTTTAGGGTTTTAGGGTTTTAGGGTTTAGGGTTGCTAAATAAACTGCAACAACCTACATTATACATACGCGCATGAACATATTGCCAGGAAAGGTCTGGGATCAAGCAGGTGGCCAGCACCAAACACAATGCCGTAAAGCCTCTGAAGGACAAGCCCCAGTCGAACGTGCCCAAGTACTCCTTCTTGTTTAGGAAGACACCAACGACTGCCGAGGAAACGAGAGAGCCTGCCATGGTGACGATTGTGAACTCCGCCTTCATCTTGCCACGGCACTGTATCGGCTCATGCTGGGAGTACTCCAGCAAGAGACCCTCGCCAGCCACACATCCCAACTGAACGCCCGCAACGAGGATGAACAGCGGGAACACATACCAATTCTTGTCAGCATGGATGCTGGGATTGCATGGTGGTCTCATCGTGTCGTAGCTGCCATCAGGGTTTTGGCAGTAGTATGGCGCAGGAAGCGGCCGCAAGCTCATGACCAAGAGCGCACTGCCACATATGATCCAGGATGCCACGAAGTAAGGCTTCCGGTTGTAACCGAAAATGGGGAGGCAGTCCGTCAACATGCCGAACGGGAGAAGGAACACTTGTGGGAGTTTCATGAGGGCCGAGATGGACATCAAGATGTACGAGTCCAACCCCATGTAGCCAAGGAAGAAGCCGTACACAATGCTTGATGCGGCCGAGTTCAAGAAGGCAAGGAAGAAGCCCCCCAGTGGGAGACCGCAGGTGCGCCACGTCCAAATGCTCGGGCAGTTGGCGCATTTTTTGCAACATGCCTGGCCCGGAAGATGTGCGGAATGATGATGCGCGCCTCCCCGGCAGCCCGACTCCTTCCATGTACCCAGTACCCTCAAACAAGGCATGCAATTTCGGCTCACCTTCAAACGTTCCTTAACCAGGGCTGTGGAAGTAAGCAATGATTGAGGGGAGTCTCAAACCAAAACCAGCTAACCCTAAACCCTAAACCCTAAACCCTGAACCCTGAACCCTGAACCCTGAACCCTAAACCCTAAACCCTAAACCCTAAACCCTAAACCCTAAAACCAGCTCCTGATTCTCCAAGTCGGGCTTGCTGGAGAGCTGCATCGACATAGAAACATGTTCCGGGCTCGTGGCCTGAAGCTCCTTGCAACTCTGGGTCTGAACCCTAAACCCTAAACCCTAAACCCTAAACCCTAAACCCTAAACCCCTCCTGGCCTGAAGCTCCTTGCAACTCTGGGTCCTCCAGCAGGGTCAAGCGATTTGGGTCTAGGGTTGAGGGACGGGGGCGGTCCTGCCTATTTCCCAATTTAGGGTTTAGGGTTTAGGGTTTAGGGTTTAGGGTTTAGGGTTTAGGGTTGAGGCATATCCTCGCCGAATTGATTTCTTAAGGCCTAGGCCCATAAGCAACCCTCCAGGTTTAGGCAGGGTTTAGGATTTAGTGTCTTACAGTCTTACAACACCCACCCCCACCCCAAACACGAAACAACTTTTGTTCCAACCCTCCTCTCTGGGCTCTCCGTACCAGCGCTGTCCGACCGATTCGCGCTGGAAACGGAGGACTCCTCATCCACGAATAGCACAGGACCCGACATGGCTCTCTACCCAGTATCTGTATGAGGGCTTAGCCACTCCTCTCTTCAGCAAACAAACCTTGGAGCCGACATCCATGATCGCAAAGACCATCAGACAACAGCGGGAAACCTACCAAGCCGCAGTTATTGTTTAGGGTTTAGGGTTTGGGGTTTAGGGTTTAGGGTTCTCTCTCTCTCTGATTTCTCATGGTGGTGACTGGGCTGCACCGCTCACGCAGCCCTGAGCACGTCTGCAGCAAGACTGTTTTTGACGCGGCATCAGGACCAAGTGTCCGAATGCAGATGTAGAACTTCTCGCAGACAGCGAGCACCAATTGCGCGACTCTGGCAGGAGGTGGAGCAAGCTCATACAAAAGATGTCGTGCCACTACTGGATTAGTTTTATGAGCTGCGCATAGGCCTGAATGCAAGTATATACTGTAATAGGTGCATGGATCCTTACCGTTGCAAACAATGAGAACCCGCAGCATGCGCGGCGTGAAGCCCGGCGGCTACTTCAAAGGCGCATGCATACATACCGGACACAAAAGGAAAACCAGAGACATCTGCTGGAGAGGATAAAGCTTTAAACTATCTGTCTCGACATAGCCCTAAACCCTAAACCCTAAACCCTAAACCCTAAACCCTAAACCCTAAACCCTAAACCCTAAACCCTAAACCCTAAACCCTAAACCCTAAACCCTACAGCACCCTCTCAGGCTGCCCCAGAACTCCCTACACGATGATAGAAGTCGCATCAGCCAGGCTAGGCCCACCGATGTCGGGGCAACCTCCTTTGGAGAGATCCTCGGACGCAAAGGCGGCCGACAAAGCCGCCGTACTTCTTGCAAAGCTCTTGCTGGCCATGTCCTTTTTCTGAACTTGGAACCCTAGCAGAAGTTGTGATTTTCTAGCTGCTTCTTAGGGATGATAGCACCCAAAATTATTCAAAAAAGAAAAACTTTCCCAAGCATCCCAAAGTGTCAGCCTTGCAGTTTGCTAGGAAGTGGTGGTCATCCAGGAGGCACGTCCGATTGATGGTCTTCTCGCGCTTCACGATGGACCAGGTGCATCCTGTCTCCCACGCGCTTGGCGTGGGCCCTGTCTGCGGTGGACAACGGCCGCTCTTGGGCAAACTGTACCAAAAGCCCAAGACACTCTTGTCCGCGCACCTGCTCTCCCCATCACCCATGAAGAAGGGCGCTTCTTTGCCCACCAGCCGTGAGTCGCCGCCGACACACCTTGATCATCAGGCATTCAACCACAAGAACCCCCCGTTTTTGTATGTGAACGCCACCAAACTTACAAGGTCTTAGGCGAAGTCTAAGGGTTCCTTGGGAAAATCAACTGGGGTCGTTGTAAGGCTCCACAAGGTTTAGGGCTGGTCGTGTCCAGGGCACACGGGTCCTGGCGGTGAGGTGTCGGGGTAACCATTGCATGCAGCGTATTGGCCAAAGGCCGGCGAGACTTGAAGAGAATATCGAGAGATCCTGGGAGCAGGCAGGACTTAGGATTGTAGTGCGTAGGGCCTAGTGCAGTCCCTAAGAATAGGCCGTGAGGAATGAGTGTGCGCCGAACTTAAAAGAAACACAGACAGGATATTTCAAAATGGCACTCCAGGAGCAGTGAATAATTGTGATCCGCGAAGGAGCTCTGGTTTCCCAGAACATCGAAGCAGATGAAAAGCGCATCGCCAACCAAGTCAGCCACGTTTTGATCCTCGATGCTGTAGGTCCAATAACCATAGTATCATGGGGTACCCTTTGCGCTTTTTTATCTCTTTGTGTTTGTTGTAAGGGAGCCTAGAACCAGAAAAAGGGCAAGAGTGCACCGCTGGGCTACCGAGTCCTCAATGCTGTAGTCCCCGGCGGAAAGTCCCGGATGGAAGACGTATGCATCGACGGCGGCAGGCTCCACACCGCGCCCATTCTCACAGGCTGGGGCAACATGATCACCTCGGTTGCTGTTAGGGTTTAGGCTTTAGGGTTGCTGTTCGGACTGTTACGGAGCTGTTGCAGCCCAAGACAAGTTGCCTTCATGCCGCAAGGACACCAGATTCTTAACATTAGCTTCCTGAATTTGACATTCTGGTCGCTTAAAAAGAGGCTTATAGAGGCTTAGAGCTTCGTGGCGGCAACCCTAAACCCTAAACCCTAAACCCTAAACCCTAAACCCAGGCACAGATGTCGGGCTTCTCGAGAAGGCTCGAGTCGACCTCAGTGCTCAGCGGGTCAAACTGGTAGCTGACGAAGGACTCCTTCACGGCAGCCGCACTCGAGAGGTTTCCTTACTTCTCCACTAACCCAAGGGGAAAAAAAAGGGTTAGACTTGAAGATTCCTGTACTAAATTAGGAAGCCCGAAAAGTTTGGAGTTCAACTCAAGGCGAAGCAAGTTTCGATACGATATGTTCAGCTCTACAGGGCTGTTTCCATCTGTGCACAAGCTCTGGTTCACGGCGGAGCTCCCAAATCGAAAGCGCCAGAGTGCACAGCTGCGCCCGGCGACGGAACGCTGCCCAGCATACTCGGAGAGGGTCGGATTCGAAGCCCAAGCAAACAAGTCATGGAAGCCCTGTCGCCCCATCATCGGCAGGTATCGGCAATTTGGGTGGTTGCCGCCAGTCTCAATCCAAGTCATGTTTCCGATGCTCAAGGTTGTCATGTTAGAGTCTGCACCCTGGATGAAGTAAGACGCCAGGCTTTCAACCCTATTGGCCTTCAAGTCGACATCCTGCGCAAAGTATCCTCGGCCTTTTGTGGGTGTGCCCATGCTGGTCGTGAAGACATGCATGTTGGCCCCAAACCGGCGAGGAATCACCGGTCGCGGTGGCTCTCCCTGAGCCTGAACCTGGACTAGGCCTGACTTCCTCTGCATCTCTTCTTCAGCCTCGGCGGCTTTTTGGATGGGCAGAAAGGCGTCGTAGTACTGCTCCAGCGAAGAGTGTGCTTGGGAGAGGGATAGAAGCTGAAGAAGACATCCGACCACCACCGACGGTTGCCTCATGACGCCTGTCTCGAGACTCGGCGATATGGTATTCCGAGTTCTTTCAGAACCGCTACTCAGGCTTAAGCCAAAGTCTTGCGCAGCCTGGGTATCAGACATGGGACACCCTTGAACCCAACATGAGGACCGGCCTAACCACATTGTCTCAAGGCCTTGCGATAACACATGCTCATGTTCATGTTCACACGGCATGAAGACTACTAGTACAAGCTGTGATTCTGGCAAACACATACAACTGATTGTTGAGACATCTGTTCTTCGTGCAGGATGTGCTTGACGTGGGATTCAGCTGGCTCATGCGCCAGCTTGCATGCCCTGCCGGCAAAGGTATTTGCGCACATGCCCTGCTCTGCTTGTCCCGAAGCACGTGGCAAGTGCAACCTTTTTTATGGCAAGATGCGGCGCGCATACATCTTCGTCAGCTCGAGAAGACATTGCGATGCAACCCTTTCCACCCCTGCCCACTGCGTCGGACATCCTCGCTCCTATAGCGCATTCTATGCTGAACAGCTCGATGTCTTCAGCCATTGTCTTCCTGACCCGTCCTTGGGAGTTAGAAGCATTCAGTGAACTCACTGCCCCAACCCTCGCTAGCGCTAGCAACGCCTTCCCTCCATGCATCTGTGGTGTGCCTCCTGATATGGGGAGAGGACGCGTGCTGCTCGTGGAACAGTCTAGCAGACTCCAGCAGGACTAGCAATCATTGGGGTTCTAAAGTGCAGGCCCCTCACTGCAGACTTGAACTGAGTAGGCGGCACATGGTGCTGGGTCCTCAGAGACTGCGTGGCAGGTCTGAGAAGGTTGAATAATATCTTGATGCAAAGGCGCGGCCTGTAGTGCTCACCTTGATCCGCCTCGAGGGGGCCTTTCCTGAATGTTTACGGTTCTGTCACTACACCGAATTATGTATGTATGTACGTATATATATATATATATATATATATATATGTGTATGTATTCTGTGCTTTTTTGGCGTCTATACATACATACATGCATACATACATATATATATATATATACATATACATAACTACATATATATATATAATATACATATGTATACATCATTTGTAGTGTGTGTGTGTGTATAGAAAAGGGCCCCGAGACCGGAGCGTTCATTCGTATCAGCGTCATTCATCCTGCGATTCTCCGAACCCCCCGCAAAGCTGTCTAAATCCTGAAAGCTCTGAGCCCACATTACACTAAACCCTAACCCACCTAAACCCTAAACCCTCAACCCTAAACCCTAAACCCCACCCTAAACCCTAAACCCTAACCCACCTAAACCCTAAGACCCCTAAAGCTGTGTCTGAGCCCGCGGACAACTGCCACAGAGGCTGCACGTGCTCTTGGGCGCCTGGCCTGGCATTGGTATGCCGACCTACCTCGACCGCTAATTAATTGTAGTCCCGTTTTTTGAAAGGGGGTCCCTACTAAACCCCTCCAATTGTAGGCCCCTTTTTTGAGGGGCCCTACTAAACCCCTTTCAAAGATTGGTGCAAAACGGATCAGGGTTCAGGGATTGCTTCCCCAAATCTCAGAACCCAAGCTCAAGCCGACCTTGGCGAATGGTAGCTTTCAGACCAAGGGTTTGTTGTGCTGTCAGAGGGGTCAGCTTGTTGAAGATGGAGAAAGTTCGACAAAGCAAGCCTGATGCCACCCAGTCGCACGAGAGGCCTTCCAAGCCCACCCATAAAAACCGGGAACCCTAAACCCTAAACCCTAAGCCCTAAGCCCTAAGCCCTACGCCCTATAAACCCTAATTGAACCCTAAACCCTAAAACCCTTTGTGTCCAAGCTTTTTCAACCCCCGAAAGCTCCAAGTGAATGCTCACTTCCATCCTGCTCCGCTGTAGCTCCGCAATATGTGGAGCCACCTCCGAGTCAGGGAGGGTCTTAGGGTTTCGGGTTCAGGGTTCGGGTTTAGGGTTTAGGGTTTAGGGTTTAGGGTTGAGGGTTGAGGGTTGAGGGTTGAGGGTTGAGGGTTGAGGGTTGAGGGTTGAGGGTTGAGGAATTAGGATCCAAACTCTAGCCTCCCCGGAAATCCTGGGTGCCTTGGGTTTTAGCGTGCAAGAGCAAGCCTGAACCCTCAAACCCCTAAGCCATGAAAGTAAAACCCTGAAAACTGAAAAAACTTAAATGCCCTTAGGTTCTGAAGCTCTTAAGCCTTATACACCCCAAACCTTAAACCCCAAACCCCAAACCCCAAACCCCTAAACCCTAAACCCTAAACCCTAAACCCTAAACCCTAAACCCTAAACCCTAAACCCTAAACCCTAAACCCAAAACATGCAGGTGAGCGCGCCTGTGGGCCCAGGCGCTCGTCGACCAGCCGAAGGAAGCGATCGCCAGCTTCGCCCTGCAAGGCCTGCGGAGGTCACGTTGGCGAAATGGGTTTAGGGTTTAGGGTTTAGGGTTTGGGTTTTAGGGTTTAGGGTTTAGGGTTTGGGGTTTGGGTTTTAGGGTTTAGGGTTTAGGGTTTGGGGTTTGGGGTTTAGGGCTTAGGGTTTAGGGTTTACGGTTTAGGTCTGAATATGGGGGGTTGCCGAAAATAGGGGTACCCTTTTGGGGGTCCCTTTAAAGGGAATTCTATTTTTTGAGGGGTATCCAAAGAATAAAATTTGTGTGAATAGAGTTTCAATGGGAGAGCAAAGGGGTACCCCTGTTTTGGGGAAATATCCAGATCTTTACGACCATTGATCGGAGTTTGGGGTGTGTAGATCTTGGCCTTCCATCCGTAGCTGGTGAGATTTGGAGTTTTCGGTGCCTCTAAGCCCCAAACCCTGGGCCCTTGATCTCTTCATGTGGGACAGGATCCCCGACCCCTTGGGAGGATCCAACGAGCAGATGCCCTGAAGGGTTCATAAGAATGACCCAATAGTGGTAGAGGGTACTATTTGGAGGTTCTATTGGGCTGTTCCCCTACTAACAGTCCCGAATAGAGATTGTTCATAGGGGGCTACGATCATCCCTACTAAGGACTGTTCGTATAAGGGTGAACATCCCAATTGCCTTCCATCCGCAGCTGGGTGAGATTTGGTACTATTTGGGGGGGTTCTATTGGGATGTTCCCCCTTCTACTAACCTACCTTAATGGGGATTCTAATAAGCTTCATAGGGGGTTACTAAAATCCCTATTAAGGACTGCTAGTATCATCCCAGGGCTTCTACTTTGTGGATCCTCCAAGGGGTCTGGGATGCATGTAGCTGCGAGGTTCAGTGGTCTTTCCTCGCTCTCTTGATCAGCCACATGGGCAGTTCCTCAAAAATCAGGGTCCCCCTTTTTCGGGGTCCCCTGTAGAATACGGCACCCTCAGGAATAAGGGCTTAGGGTTTAGGGTTTAGGGTTCCCTAAAATCCCTGAACCCGCATTGAGCGAACTACCCAGATCGAGCAGAAGATCGGATGAAACTGCGGACGCGCTCCCATCCGCCGAAGCAGTACGCCCAGCACACGAGCCTGGTCTGATTCTGGGCTTTAGGGTTTAGGGTGTAGGGTTTAGGGTTTAGGCTTTAGGGTTTAGGGTTTATATGGTTTAGGCAAGTTCGGGTTGAGGGTTTATAAACACCATGGTATAGCAAGTTGGGTCGGGAAGGGCTCACTTCCGCAGCTTTGGGTGGCTTTCAGAGGGATAACTTGCATTCATAGAGTGGTCGGGATAAGTACTAATGGTAGGCCCCTTTATGATTATATTAGAATACCACCCCCAAAGCCCTAATCTAATCATTAAGGCCCCTACACCCTAAACCCTAGACCCTAGACCCTAAACCCTAAACCCTGTTCTAAGTCTTAAGGCCCCTGAGAGCATAGCGCAGCTCGGGCGCGTCGTGAGAAAGAGCCATGCGGAGCAGGCCGCCACACCGGCTTGCTGGGCAGCCCTTGCCTACGTTGGACCCCTTAAGCCTCTGACAAAAGGGTTTAGGGCTTAGAGTTTAGGGTTTAGGGCTCATAAAAAATGACCCTTCCTCAACCCCGTAAGGGAAAAGGTTAGAAATGTCTCAAGGTGCTGCCTAGTTGCTATCTGGTCTCCGCTGTAGAAGAGCCCGAAGAAGCAGAGGAAGATGAGGGCCGACCTTGGCACCAATTAGTCCCCCAATACCCCCCTTAGTTCAGGGTTTAGAGTTTAGGGTTTAGGGAAGAGACCTTAAATCACCAGTAACCCCCTACACCCTAAACCCTTAGCCCTACACACATTCATTCATGAAGAGACCTTCTCCTATCAAAAACCCTAAGCCCTAAACCCCAAACCCTGTTCGCAGGGAAGTGTCTGAACATAGTCCATGAAGCAAGAAAACCAGCGCGGGGGCGCGAAGCGGTCCGAGAGCTCAATGGTGAACTTGAGCATCGGCAAGAACCAGAGGAGGTAGAAGCCGAGGGATAAGGCCATGACCTCCCGGGCCACCACCTCTGCCGGTGCACCCCCCACCTTACTTGCTGAGCGGTTTTAGGGTTTAGGGTTCAGGGTTCAGGTTTTAGGGTTTAGGCAAAAGTGTACACTTTCAGGTCTAGAGGGGGGATTCTGGCATCCCAAAAAGTGTATAAAGTGCACTCATTCAGCTCCTAAGCCACCCACAGGGCCATAACGGCGTTGAGGCTCGAGCTCAGGGGTGCCCCCGCAGCAAGCAAGAGGTACTGCACCGGAAACTCCAGCTCCGAGGAGCCCAGCATCTCCTTTTGATGGGTTCCCCTATTGTTGGGGTTTAGGGTTTAGGGTTTAGGGTTTAGGGGTACTACCCCCCTCTATACTACCCCCGCCTAGGTTCCCCGCTATTCAGGGATAATTAAGCTTAATTGGGGTGTTTGAAGGGGGGAACCTAGGGGGGGTAGTTTCGAGGGGGGTAGTAGGGGAACCCAGCATCTCCTCACGTAGAGGGCCACGGACATACTCCGTAAAGGCCTCAGTGCTCCCATACCACTCCACAATGGCTGCGTAGATGAAGTCCTTGTCGAAGTCCTCGCGGACGAAATGAGCCCTAAAAAGGGTTCATGCATGGTACATAAACTTTCATACGGATAACAGTAGCCCTAAACCCTAATCCCTAAACCCTAGGGTGTATGACCCCAATTTTAGGGTTCATTGGGTCCAAGGGTCCTTTCGACAGCTGGCTTGGCTCAAGTCGAAACCCTTCCTTACTTCTCCAATATCCAAGGGGAAAAAGGGTTAAACTTCAATATTTGTACAAAATAAGAAAACCCAAAAAGCTTAACGTTCAACTAAAGGCGAAGGAAGCTTCAGGTTTGAGATGAGCGTATGTTTCGCCCGGGTGTTCACGCGCATGGCGTGGATCAGGAAGTAGACGGGCAGAAGCCTGGGACTGTAGAGAGGCCCCTGGGACAACAAGAAGCCCCAACCCCAAACCCCAAACCCTAAACCCTAAACCCTAAACCCTATAAATCCTAAACCCTGAAGCGGCTATCGAAGAAGCGTGGTTCGCGCTGGATTGCACTGAGAAGCTGCCCGACTTTAACGGGTTCAAGGGTTTAGCTGTTAACTAGGGTTTAGGGTCTGGGACTCTCTTTGCCTACAGTTTTAGGGGGTGATACCTACTAATAAACTGTAGGTAAGTAGAGTCCCAGGTATGCACCAGCGCTGGCTGCTAGTTTGAGGTGTCCGGCGCGGTGCTGTTGCAGTAGCGCGATCCATGTCGGAATGAGAATCAATTGTGTCTTGGAGTTCCACAAATTCGGGAGGGTCCATCTTTTTGGCCAGTAATGAAGAGACATTTCAAAATTCGGAGCACACGTAAGACAAGTCATTTTCTCAAGAATGCTTCATTCACTTGACAGGTTCGTCGACCATATGCGTTCCCTCGCCTAAGATGACTGAGACTTTTCTGAGCTTGTAGCGTTTCTAGGGTTGGGAGCTACTCAGCAGAAAACAGGTGTCAGTCAGTTCAGGTTTACTCAAGGGGCCCCTGATTATGAAAGCCTTTACTGGATTCTTAACTGGCGAGAATTAAGGAGCTTTAAAGCTAAGTGTTTTGGGTTTGGGTACTCAGCCCTAAACCCTCAGCCCTAAACTCCAGGCCCCAAAACCCTAAACCGACATGGGTGCGTCGACAGACCTCAGTTTGAGCGCCGAGAGCCAAGAAGCCCAATGCCGAAGGCTGCTGGGCGATAGACCAGCTCCAACTTTGCCTGATGAGGCTGGGGCCCGGGGGGTTTAGGGTCAGGGTTTAGGGTTTGGGTCTAGCGCTTAGGTTTCTGCATCTCAAGTCTATGCATTCATAAATAGATAAAACTTGCTGTTATGGTCAAGAACGCGGTAGTTAAGCTCGCCACTCTGGTAACGAATATCGACCCACCCACTCTTTGGATCCCGTAAAGTTGGGACCATTATCGTTTTCATGAAGAGCTTAAACCCTGTATGCCCTGAGCCCGAAACCCATGCTGGAACCCTAATACTGTAGGGACCCTCGACCCCAAATGCAGGAACCCGACAAACGCGGCTTGAAACCGAAAACCTGGCCCCTAAACCCTCAAAGCCTTCAGTGCAACCCTAAACCCTCGAACCAGGAGCTGGGACAGATGCCTGGCAGTGAGACCAAAAACCCTAAACCCTTTGAAGCCTTCAGTGCAAGTTGCTTTTTCATTTCTCTGGAGGGGGGAGCCTAAGTGTTCCAAGTTGACTAAACCCTAAACCCTAAACCCTAAACCCTAAACCCTAAACCCTAAACCCTAAACCCTAAACCCTAAACCCTAAACCCTAAACCCTAAACCCTAAACCTAAACCCTAAACCCTAAACCCTCCACCCTCCATCCCAAAGCTCTTAAACACCCATTCCTTACCGCCCGCACTACAATGTTTGGGGTTTAGGGTTTAGGGTTCAGGGTTTAGGGTTTAGGGTTCAGGGTTTAGGGTTTAGGGTTCAGGGTTCAGGGTTTAGGGTTCAGGGTTTAGGGTTTAGGGTTTGGGGACACGACTCTTGGAGGTTGCGTGATCGCTACAGGTGAGAGTCCACTCTCTGATGGGGCCTCCAGACAAAAGTGGGCCAAACTGATTAGCAACGAAGCCCACACCCCATCGGCTTTCGGGACCGTGGAGACAAACAGGTTTTAGAGTTTACACCCTAAACCCTAAACCCTAAACCCTAAACCCTGAAGCTGCGTACCCTAAACCCTAAACCCTAAACCCTAAGGGCTTAGTGACCCCAAAGCGAAGCTGGGGGCCCTTGAGGCCCAAGGCACGGCGAAGACGAAGAAGAAGAGGAAAGCGGCAAAGTAGGAGCCCATGATGAGAGAGAGGACCCCGACCTCAGAGTCGCTTTTTAAGGGGTCTAAGGGGTTTAGGGCAACCCCTAAACCCTAAACCCTAAACCCTGAATCCCAAACTCTTGGGGTTTCCTTCCGTGCGGGTGGGGAACTCGC